AATAATTGTCCTACTTTACCCAAAATTATGATACCTCATACTTTCTTATTGTCTTTAATAATAATTTCTAATCGTAATAATCTTTTCAGCCCATCAACTTACAATAGTCTTCGATCACTTTGAATTGATGTTATTCCTTTTTATCAAAATTACATAACAACAAAAATTAAGGACAAAGACGGTATTAACTTTAAGATCATATGAAACTCAATGTCCATTCACCACAAACGATAAACAACAATCAACTTGGTTTTATGTTAAATATTTTATTTTAATAAATAAGTAGTATATAGATAACATGCACCCCTGAATAACTAATCCTAGCATATACAGGTACTCCGTATATGTATATGGGACTGTAAACCATTAGAACAAGGTGGTCTTCCTAGAAAGAAAATCAAATCAACCTGGATTAGTCCTAACAAAACCTGAAACTTGGTATACTCTTACAATTAGGATAGATTAGTCTTAGGAAAACTTGAATTATGTGAGAGTAATAGTAGGCCATAGTAGTGCAAGGGAGTAGAGGAAAAGGACAAGGGGGGAAGAGAATAGGTGTAGGTGTGTTAAGGGAACAGTGAGGCGAGAAATCAGGGGCAGAGAGAGTACGGAAGAGAGAGAGAGAAGAAGAAGAAGAAGAAGACTGAGATGAGATGCCGAAATCAGAGGAGCAAAACCAATAATTGTATACCACGCTTCTCCGACACTATCATAATACCTACCAAATGTGAATGTCTTTTCACTGTTCCTTGCTTATTGGTTATTTGCTTCTCTTCTTCTATTTTACCGCTCATCTCGTTCAAACTTGGCCCCCCCTTTCCTTCACCCTTCCACTTAAGCCGCCTTACTATGTTGCTTGATTTTACACACTATTTCATTATTCACTCTTATTTTTTTTAAGAGTTTAGAAGGTAATTAATGAGATTATATAGATATGCATTCCAAATATATTTTCCCAAGCAAAAGGTTAAAAAACTACGGCACACTTCGTATATGGTATTCCCTAACGTCTACTATACTTTGGACACATAATATACTGCATTTACAATACTCCATTTAGCTATTTACAAAACCTAAATTCTTTCTGCCAAAAAAAAAGAAACCTAAATTATTTTGAGAATTACACAACATTCAGAATGAGTAAAGGTTGGGAGGTATTATCTATTAACTCAAACTTTTTTGTTTTAAAAGAAAAATACCTATAGATTCCAAAAAAAAAAAAACCACAAAGATTAGGGCAGTTTTCTCTCATGACTAAACCCTACCTTATTAAGAGAAATACACAAAAAAAGATTTACTATTCCATGTCTATGAATGGATTTATATCTTAATGAGTGTGACGAAAATAACCTAAAGTTGAGATAAAATCAATCTTTAATATGTGTAGCTCAATATTCCCTATCAAAGTGGTAGGTAAGGCATTCAAATAAAAATAACTTCACTTGGAAGCTAGGTTGAGAACTTTTTATTGTGATAAATGTCAACGCATATATTAGAAATGTATAAATGTCAATGCATATATTAGTAGTAGCGTTCTTGATGAAATGTATAAATTTTCCACACGATGACTTATTATTTATTATTTGGTAGTTTGTATTAGAAATGATGTGGAGATTTTTCAACATTATAATGATATTTTATTGAATTAAAAGAAGGGGGGGGGGGGGGAAGTATTATGAGGATCCGACTAGAGGAAGGCATGGACAGGGCCAACACAAGCTGAGGGTTGACCAAACACGGTACCAAAATGGCCCAACCCTATATATGAGGTTGTTGTTAGCCTAACATCACATGGTATGAGAAGCATATGTTAATAAGCCATGGGTTATGTATGAATTTTAAATTAAAATAAAGTTGACATAAGTCTGGCACAAGCATACACGATAGGCCAATCTGCTTATCGACCAAGTTTTTAAAACCAATTTATCAAATACTTGTACACCGTGTATATATATTATTAAGAATGCAAAACGATCCGTAAATAGACTCGTTCAAATTTTGAATCATTAGCTAAATTCAGTGCAACATGATTTTTTTCTTGGCTCGTTGAGGATGAAGCACACAAAACAAATGGGCCTACAAAACCCGACCCGTGCCCATCTTTAGATTCAACACTCTAATTTATGGGCTAATCGATGAATAGAATTATTATCATTATTATTATTATTATTTTTATTTCATACAGCAATGCAGCATAATATGAAGTATAACTGCTGACTTAATTTTTACATGGAGCTATGTATGTAATTCAATTATTTTTTTCTTTCGGTGATTTATAATTCGAATATACGATTACTTAATAGTTATGTGAGTGGCTTGCAGATCAAAATTCATGAATATGTTAAAGTTAAACAGAGGGTCAAAATGTCAAATAAATATTCTGAAGAGTCATAGTTTAGGTGTTCTACAGTTGTTCTAGACTTCTCATGATGCATGAACTTGGTCTTAATTCTTAAATCTTTAAAATGTATAACAGACTAACAATGAACAAATTAACTTGCAGAAATCTTTGAAATTCATTCAATGAACCGGCACTCTATTTGAATAACTTTATGTTCGACTTTTACTCGATTTTTATTTATTTATTTATTTGTATATTTTGATACAATTATGTGTATTTGCATACTGATTCTTGTTTGCATGGTTAGTTTGTCCTCAATCATTTTTGTGAGATTTTTATTTTGTATATAATAATTTTATACTTTTGATTTGTCATATGCTAAGGAGAATTTTGCATGACAAACTAATTAGCCAGGCCAACTGGTCGATGTTGTATTTAATGCTGCAAGAGTGCAAAATATTAAAGAAAAATCCAGGCCATCATCATCATGGGTCACTAATTATTATCCTAACTTTAAATGATTGCATATAATCTTCACATTCTTAGGTTTGAAAAGTGAGCGAGAGAGATGAGCCACTATGACCCGTGCATATTTTTTAGCAGGCATGATAGTATAGTACTATTACAATTTGAGAACTTTCACGAATTAAATCTTTGAAAGTTTTCTCCTATGCCCCAGCATTATCATTCCTTCTTTCAATTGCATCGTTAATGCTTTGACTCGTGTGTCACGTATTATAGTCCGCAAAATTCATGTTGCTATTATTACTATACCTCTATTTGAAGGACTAAAGTAGCATTCACACACGTATGTTATTCACAAATCACAACCAAAAAGAGAAAATGAGATCAAGGGAATTCATATAATCATATAAGACAACAGACTTTTAATTGGCTTTATAAATTATATTACTAGTATTCTAGTAACCCTCTAACAATTGAGATTTGAAAGTGTTCGGTTGAGACTTTAGAGAGAAGTTTATATACGTTAATTGACAGAGGATTAGAATATAAGAATATATAATACCAATTATCAAAAGCAATTGAAACCCGTGTTTTATCACAATTCTAGTCTAGTGGTACTTCGTATAACATTTAGAAATAATGCTAACTTACAAAAAAATAAAAGGAAAAACTGCCGGAAATAATCTCACCTTTGGGACGTCCACAAAAAAAAAATCCCACCTTTATACCCAATCTGCTCCTAATGGTCCCAACCAGTCAACTAACTTATAATAACAAGTTGCCTTACACGTGTCAGCCTGTGATTGGTCAAAAAAAAAAAAAAAAAAGTTTTAACTTTTTTAAGGAAAAAAAAACATAAATTAATTGATTAATTAGAAAAACCACCCACAAGCCCTAACAACCCTCTCCACCGCCTGTTCCGGCCATCCTTGCTGCCGAACTCCCCTGCCCCACAGCGCCGACTGCCCAAACCGCCACCCCCAGCGCCGACGCCCCCCTCCCCCTCCCCCGAACCACCAACCTCTCTTCCACCGCCACAAAAACCCCCGAAAACCAACCATCCCGCAACCCTTGAAAACCCTCTCCGCCCCAATCCTGGCTCCCCTCCCCTTCCCTCGTTTTGATTCCGGCAGCTCTCCCCTTCCCCCGTCCCGATTCCGCCTCCCTCCCCTTTCACGATCTGATGGTTGCTCCGATCTGTGTTGCGGCCTCCCTACCCTTTCCCTGATCTGATGGTTGCAGCCCCAGTCAGCCACGGTTAATCGCCGAATTGCAGCAACCACATCGAAGCTCGCGTCGTCGTCGTCGTCTGGACTGGGTAGGAGGAGTACCGACGAATGGCTGGTGGTCTGGGCTCGGCGACGTGTCTCGACTGATGGTCTAGGCTTGGCGACGTGTCTGGTCTGGGCTGATGGTGGCGGTGGGGAGGTGGGTGGGGATGGTGGTGGTTGTTTAAACATAATTAATTAAATAAATAATAATTAATTGATATTAAAATTAAAATTTATTTTTTGACCAATCACGTGGTGACACGTGTAAACTAAACTTAATTAAAAAAAAATTACCTACTCAACCGGCTCCAGGTCACTTGGGACCATTAGGAACAGATTGAGTATAAAGGTGAGATTATTTAAAAATAACCCAAAGGTGGGATTATCCCCGACAATTTTTCCAAAATAAAAATAATGCTAACTTTAACTAACTTTACTCAACAATACTTTTATTGGTCATCTAGACAATAACTTAGATAATTTGTAAATTTGATAGTTATTTAATTTATCATACACTTTACACTAACCATAAGAACTAGCTAAATCAACTAATAACATCAAATTAACCAACTACAACTGAGTATGCACTAACAATTAAAAAATATCAAACACAAATCAAAATAAAGATCAAAAGAGAATCACCAACATTAGCCTTCTTGAGCCCTTGACAACAAAAAGCCCCTAGTCCCCCACACAAATCCAGTTCGATACTAATATCTGACCAAAAGATTTTTTACCTCATTTGCCTAAACCTTACAATACAAACAAACTTTCTACCCTCTATCAAATTTTGGTCAAAGACAATATAAAAAAACAGCACTACAAATTGACAGATACCCAAAACCATGAATATCACATAAATCACTCTCCTAATAAAAAAACAGTAATATTGGCAAGTCCTTATCCATTAACTTATTATGTCTCACTCAAAAGAAAACAAAAAAAAGAATTATCTCCCCAAACACCCGACTCATTAACTGAATAAAGCTGTTCTCATTTCTCCTCACTGTTTGCCTTCTTCTGCATGCTCTGCCTCTTCTCACTACTACTACTTCCCATATTAATACCCTTCTTCCTCCCTTTTTTATTCTCAACCAAATTAAACAAACACACCCTTAAAAAACTAAAAACTCCTCTCTTAATTATTCTCCTTCTGTTCCTTTGAATTATTAACCCAGGCCACGTATGCCGACTGAGGCGGGCGAGAGGGCGGTAAGGGCGCAACAGATGGGAGCGCCGTTACCGCCCGTGGAACAACAAGACCCACTCCCTTGTCCACGTTGCACCTCAACCAACACAAAATTCTGTTACTACAACAACTACAACTTCTCTCAGCCACGTCACTTTTGTAAGTCTTGCCGCCGTTACTGGACCCACGGTGGCACCCTCCGTGACATACCTGTTGGCGGTGGGTCCCGGAAGACGGCTAAGCGGTCACGTACTTCTTCATCATTGGTTACTTCCACGACTTCTACTTCTTCGGGTGTTTCTATTGGGCCGGGTCTCGAGCCCATACCCGTTTCTCAGCAGGCTACTCCTGTTTATGTTTCACTTCCGTCGACTACGGCTGGTGGCGGTGTTGGTGGTGGGTTTACGTCATTGCTGAGTAGTGGTGGGCCTGGAGGAATACTCGCGTTAGGTGGGTTTGGGCTTGGGCTCGATGATGTTGGGTTTGGGCTTGGACGTGGGGTTTGGGCTTTTCCTCATCATGAAGTTGGGTCGTATGTAAATGGTAGCAACGGCGGTGGTTGTGGAGGAGGAGAAGGGGGTGTGAGTAGAAGTGACACGTGGCACATGGAGAGTGGTGAAGTGGTTGGGTTTGTTGGTGGTGAATGTTATAATTCCTTACCAGAACTTGCTATTTCTACAACAGGCAATGGTCTCAAGTGAGATTAATTTCTCCCCCAATTCCCTTTTTTTTTCTTGGAAAATTAAAAAACATAATCAAAGAAAAAAAAATACCATTAAATTATTGTAGTTTTTCTTTTATACTCCGTACTAATGTTATGTTATGGTGTAATTGGGAGGGTATGGCTGTAATTTTGATGGGGGGTTAAATTAGGTAGGTTAATGTGGAAATTGAGTGTATTTTCAGTAGTGTAATTGAACCTGCTATGAACAGCTTGAGATCATATTATCATATGTAGTGATTAGTGAGTTTTGGTTGGTTGTAATGGCTTTGTTTTCTATGAATAGAAGATAGCCTGGGTTAATGAATATTAAATCCAATTGTTTCTCGATTTTCGCGTCCTTTATTTTACTTGCCTCATTTAAGTTAGTAATCTATTAATTACATAGATGGTGAGCTAAAATGTTTCTTAGATTCCCCCTAATCCCCTTCATTATTATAGCTACTGTAGTAGTAACATTATTGTACTCTTGATTGTTGATACTCTGCATATAATTGAAGGATTTGCGTTTTCCAGAATAATGGGATCGCAGAGTACGTAATCACAAAAACATTATTATTCTAAAACTTAACTGGATAAAGATCAAGTTCTTATCTACAAAGTGATGTTTATAAAACTGGGAATCCCTATGAAACTACTCACGGAGTATTAAATTTGTATTGTTGTTTACTTCCTCTTTTTGGACATAAATGTCAAACTATTTGGATATTTGATTGAAAACTGTTGGTGCAGTTGAAATAAAATCAATATTCTATACATCATTGGATTTAGCCTATGAGAATGTACGAGAAAAACATGTCACTACTCCTTGATAAAAAAAGGAAGAGGGGCGGTGTGGGGGGGACAAATGAGATGTATAGACTAGTTGAGCTCTACTTCGTATTTGTCTATGATGAAACAATAACATACATATACTTTGTACATCGTATATATTGTCGCTTTTCCTGAAACAATGAGAAAAATACACTATTAAGTAGAAGAATATCTAACTAAGATAGGAAGCTAAAACAGTTGGCTAGTTCTCTGACTTTCAATTGTAAACTAAGGGGTTGAATCTCACCTAATTCATTTTAGGAGGGATTTCCCTAAAATTTCCTAAAAAAAATCAAGGAATATCCAACTAGCTGCCCCAACTCAATAGCATCACACAAATTTGTGTTGGAAATAGGTATTTTTATTCGATCGAGTTAACATGTATTTTTAATAAACAAGTGAACATCCTACAATTTGGCAAATTCTGTATAATATGCATCTTAATTTGAGTTTCATGGATAAATGTTGATAGGTAGTGGGCGAATATGGATATGAAATTTTTATGTATTAGGCCGCTATGGCCTATGGGTAGTAGGAAATTGATGAGTTTTTATATCATATGAGTCTCTTTAATTTTGCCCCGCATCTGCCCTTTAAATGACCCCACCTTATACCCACCAGGCCACCACTACTCAATACTTTACAATCCTTTTAAAAGATGTAATAAACTCCTAAATAGGTCTCTATATGTAATATTGTAATACGAAGGTACACATAATGGATGTCTATTTAAGTGATGGAAGTAGTCATGGAACAGATATACGCTTACGTTTTTACATACTTGGACAAATATGAATGTTGGATGTCTACTTATAATAGACTCTAACATATGAATACAAAGTGGCAAAAAACGGCCCAAATCGTAATTTGGGGCCCCGAGTTTAAATTCCAAGTCCCAAAAAATAAGAAGGTTTCTTCAACATTATTGCTTCATTCATCAGCTTCCCTCCTCGACTAGGGTTTTTTAAAACCCAGAAAAACAGTCGAAAGGGGGTTTTGTTTTTCAATTTCCCCTAAAATTTCTTCCAATTTTTACAATCGCGCCAATTTAGCAACCAAATTTCATTCTTCAAACCTTTTCAATTTACAAATGCTACATTTTCTCTCTCCTCCACTAACCAAGATTTAACAATGTCGTCTTTCTCTCTCTTCTCAACTCCCCAACAACAGCAACAACAACAATCTCCCTTTCAATTGCAAACACAACCCCAACAACAATCGAATCCTTTCTTGCAACAACAACAACAGCAGCAGCAGCAACAACAGTTTCAATTTCAACAACAGCAGCAACAACAGCAACAGCAACAACAACAACAGCAATTGTTTTTGTTTACAAATGAGAAAACCCCAGCAAGTTACAGTACTAAATGGGCAGATCTTCATCCTGACTCCCAGAAAGTTCTCTTGCAAATTGAGTAAAGTTTCTTTCTTGGCTTCTTTTTTTTTTTTTTTTTTTTTTTTTTTTAATTTTTTATTTTCCCTTTTGTTTTTAAATTTTCTGCTTTAATTGAAAAGGGTTTTCTTATTTTAATTTTATGATTTTGATTTCCCTTTTGTTTTCAATTTCTGTTTTAATCGATGGTTGTGTTCTTGTTTATTATTATGATTTTGGGTTAACAGAGATAGAATACTGGAGTACAGAGGTGAGAGTCAGAGTTTAGATCAATGTAACCGCCTCTTCGATTCATCGGTCTCCAATAATACTTTCGAGCTCGATGCTAGCCGCATTCTTCAGGTTACTTCTTTTTTCATTATTTATATTAATCTTGTTATTGTTATTTTTTCGAGCTTTAAGTCAAATATAGGTTGTTGCCGGAGTTGCATACTTGCATCTTCAATTTATTGCTTGAACATGTTTGCTTTGTATCGTGAAACTCGAACTATATGATGTCACTAGTCACACTGTTAATTTTAGCCTTCATGATTGATATTCCCAAAAAGACTACTTTTGAAATTTGTGTAGTCTCTCCATTATTGAAATTAAACTACTAATGGAATTTGTGTAGTCTCTCCATTATCGAAATTAAATTTAGGCTCCAAGTTCGTGTAGTTGATTATTTTTCTAGATGGAGGTTTCATTATTCTTCCTACTTTGCTAATCATGGAGTTGAGCATTGAGTTAAAAAAATGTTGTCACTTGAATCATACCTATGTCTTTACTATATTTTAAGGGGTTTACCTCTTATAGATACTTGCCACATGGTGTTGTTCACTTAGCAATGCCTTGGAAAAATTTTAGGACTTAGACCTTGATGACATGGCTATTTTTCCTGTAAAATTTTAAATCTTTTACTAATATCTTCTGCTTGCAACAACCATCAAGAGTTCAAGGCAAAGAACTTGATGACTTAATTAATTGTCCTTAATCTTAAAAGTCCATCCTTGTCCCTGGCAACCATCACTAGGTTGACATCCAATGTTTGGGATGACAACTTCTATTCTATATAAACATGCTGAAATCTAGAAGTTTTGATCTGTCTTTGTGTAGATTGTGATTCTGTTTTGGGTCATATACTTCTTTAATGCACGTTAACCAGATTGTATGTAGTATTAGAATTTGATTGCCAATTCTTTCAGGAGTTTACAACCTACAAATCTTTTACGATGTCTTACTGTGTTAGAGCATTTTGGTGCTGCACCTTTCTCTAAAATATAACTACTATGTCTCTATATACTTTCCCTATTTTCTTTATTGGGATGTCTCAAATTAGTTACCTCATTCTTTTGTGGTAATTTTTCCTATATACTCTTTCTATAAATTTGGGCCCTACACTCTTGTTATAACGCATGCCAACTTGCCACAGGGGAAGTAATTTAAGACTGGGGGAGTATAGTTGTTCTTTAATAATTAGACATTAAACTTAAAGGTAAGGATAGAAAAACACGAATAGTTTAAGTATACTAATTGCTATAACACTACAAACTGATTATGATTATCTATAATAATATTGACTTACTAAATCATTTTTGTTTTTAAAAAACATGCATTGCATTAGCCAAATTCTTTATTTATTTATTTTTTTTAATTTTTTATTTTCCTTCTTTTTGAAATCTGTTTCTTTTGTTCCCTCAAATATGAGAACACAAGATTTTAAGGGGAAGTAGGAAATATGAAACTTTAGTGCGTGTATAATCTTTTGTTTCCCTCAAATACAAGAACACAATAATTATCGGGAATTAGGATTATAAATCTTTAGTGTGTATTTTTTAATTTATTTATTATTTTTGCCTTTTTATTTGTTTTAATGATTTGTGAACTGCATGAATATCTTTGTCGTATATACCTTTAGTCAAATTTTAAAGCTGTCCTAGTTAGTAGCTAACTGATGTGTTTGTCCTGTATGACATTTAGTTGCATTTCCTGGCAATAGATTTTTCCCTTTTTAATGTAAGAGAACATTGAGAGCAATATTTTGATGTTCTCACAGGAACTTGGCGGAATTAGTACATCCATGGAAAGACAGAAAGTGACATTGCACGAGTTGATGGGTGGTGTAAAGGAAATGCTAAGAAACGCCGAGATTGCCATTCGTTCTTTTATGATTCTTCAGCCAAGGTTTCTTCATCAAAAAGGTGGGACTGCTTCAAATACTACTGCATCAGCTCAAACCCCTGGTGCATCAACAACACCTGGCGGATCAAGTCAAGCAGCTGCCAGCTCTATGGTGCCAGTAAATGATTTTTACTGTGGGCTTCCAACGAAACCGTCTCCATTTATGCAGCAAACAGTTGCTAGATTTGAGAAGTACATAGGAGAATGCCGGCAATGGATCGAGGAGTTAGAGCAGCTTCTACTCTCAGATTCTGATCGAAATTCCTTAACTTTTAACTCATCGGTTTTGCAGTCTTTTCCTAAAGTTCTGACCAATGTACATGAATTTTTTGTGCACGTGGCTGCTAAGGTAATCAGACATGTAATTAAATGCTAATTTTATCTGTATTTAGTTATTCCTGGCTTTGTATTACAGTCTCCTGAAATTTTTTGCATATGCATATAATGCTGGTTGTTGTTTAATTAGCAAGTGGTGTAGATGTTGTTTAACTGTTGGTTAAGGTTATAGCCTCTTTCGTGTAGGCAATACATCTGGACAGAACATTTAATCAGAGTATTATAATTGTTTAGTCTTTGTAACCAATTGATCTTGTAAGGGGGGACAAGCAAGCACTTGTGAGGGTCTTTGTTCATGTGAAGTGCCTCTGTAGTGCAATGATATGTCAACTGCTTTAGTATGTTGGTTAATTGTCCATCCTTATCCATAGTGATTGTGTAATTTTTTTCTGATGACTGTATTATCATTATAATTTCTATTGCTTCTGCTTTGCATTGGCTTTTGCAGTTTTGTATGCCTCTCAAAATGTTTTGCCTCTTAGTGTAAAGTTAATCATCAGTATTCCTTTTGGTTATTTCCTGCTCTTCTTCGATTCCCTTGTGAAAATCGATGAATTCTGTGTTACATTGTTTTAGGTTGAAAGTATTCATCAGTACATTGAATCCATGAGAACAGCATATCTTGCTG